TGAAGGGAAGCAAGTTCAATTTATAGGGTCAGGGCTCATAATGCTGTTTAATTTGTTAATCTTGCCTTTTTCACCAGGTTCTACCATAATGAAGCAGTTCTACTGTCACAGTATGGTGGTACCCTGCTCGTTTTCCACTTGGACATTTCTCAGCAGCAAGAACATCATGCATCACTCTTCCCAGGAGGGACTGCTGCTACCAATTTTAGCAAAAGCACATGACTATTTGTCATTTTTCTTTCCCAGATTCCTGTGGATCGTAATGATTGCAGACTCCACTTCCCACGCCGGAAAACCGAGTTCACTACATAAATGGCTGCCCTGGGGCATGGGGAGGAGGAGAGTGAGAACCTTCAGTAGTAGAGGAGGAAAGCCACAAACTCAGATAGACTGTTAATGACATCTAATCTGTTAGGCCTGCTTGTTAATAGGCAAGTCTGGTAGAGTTCTAGTAACAGACAATAGAAAAGGGAAGAGAGAACCTCAGTCTGTCCAGATTTGCAGCCTGACAACACTGACAGAAATAAACTTATAAGACTGCTGTATTCGTCTCATTGCTGTTTCTAAACCAATCTATATGAATAGTCTAAAAAACCACTCTAACATCTTCACAGGCTTCAGACTTCTTATTTTGACATCAGCAACATGACCCAGAACTCGAGGTCTCCAACCTCACATCAGCAGTAGTGGTGAAAAAAGCTGTCAGAATGAAGGGGACAAAGGGCAGACTCCAGCTGCCATTCATAAAACAGCTAAACATGAGTTACACATAGTTCTGTGCAAACCATTTAATGCGTTCACACACCAAAGGTTTACGTAGAAAACAATCCTTCAACAAAACAGGACGAAGAAATTAGTGATAAGGCACTAGTTTCCACTGACTCTTTTCCATGCCACTTGGAAGCATCCAGCTTGCTCCATGGTTAGCTGCTTGATGCCAGCAGAAGCACATCTTGCAACACACAGACACACAAGAACCCCAGGGGGAAGCACAGTCCTCTTAGCGCGCTCGATTCTTCATTTTCTGCCTTGTTCTCTTTCCAGGTCTCTTCTGCAACAAACAAACAGATTGAGATCTATATTTTCATGTTCTCAATATTTGTTCTACTTCTATAGCTTGGGGAGGATATGAAGAAGAGGGTATTTGTCAGTACATCTGGAGAGGGAGGTTTTAGCACACAGGTAGCAAGTGGTATTAACTCCCTTGCTCATTTCCCTGCTGGTACCAAACCACTGTTCTCAGCTCTGTCAGCAACCCAATTATGCTCAGCTCCCAAAGACAGGCATTATCATTTCCTGATGCTGTAGGCACCCATCATGTACTCAACTCTCCCTCCCAGATGAGGGTTGGCTTCTCAGCCAACCAGGAGTGTTTGCACACAACATTTTACTTACATTGAGGGCTTTCTTCCCTCCTTTTCTTGCTTTTCCTGGGCCTTTGTTGTGAGCCACTTTTGACTGGAAGCTGGATACATCATTAAAACTTTCTTTTGTGTTCCACTTTGAGCCTTTCTTCTTCCCACCAAAACCAAACTTCTGATTTTTGTATCGTCTTTTGGCATTTGGTCTGAAAAACAACCAAACAGCATCAGTGCCCTCCATTCCTTTCCTCAGGAAGCTCTCAAGGCACAGGTATGTGCTGATGGACTCCCAACAGCCATCATAAACTTTTCCCCCATAACAAAGATGCAGAAATTAGCACATTTCAGTCTCCGTGCCATTCTGGCCAGTTATATTTCTCCCTAGGGACAGAAAGCCACCTTGGACTTATTTTAACAAACACTCATGCTCCCAAAAAGACAGAAAAGAATCAGACATTCTGTGTTTAAACATCTTTCATTTCCAGACTCACCCCTTCTTTGTCCGTTGACTTGCACTGCCTTTTTTATTCCCCTGAGACGACGTCTGCTCATCATCTAGAAAGTCCAGCTTGTCAGACAGCCCTGCAAGAGTGAAGACATCACAGCTCAGAAAAAGCAAATTTTCAGTCTAAGGAAGTAATAGCACCAAGTCACCCTCACTGAAGAACAGCTACCTGGGAGGCTTTTCACTGGCACTGGCACATGGTTCTTTCTGCACAGCAGCCTCCCAAGCTCAAGGCCCAGAACTACAGATGTAGTGACCACCCATCACACTGCCTTACATTGCTCATGTCAGGTTAACTTTACCTTTCTGGTATTTCTTGACTGCATTCAACATATTTTTTTTCTCCTTCTGTCTCCTCTGCAGAATCTCAGTTTGCACCTGTGATTAGAAGCAGAATGTTAGTTTTGTTCCTTGCAGTGTCCTATAATTTTTTTTAAGCTATTTTTTTTAAGGTATCCTATCTTTAGCTCTGTTTTCCTTCAGAGCAGCTAGACAGAAGACTAGACAAATTCTATATATTTTAGCCAGGCTCTGGTGGTCTCACTTTCCAAGCTGCTCACTCAGGCTCTAGATTCTTGTCACAGATTGTAGCTCCCTTTTGCAGCTCCTCACCTTCTTGCCGTATTTTCTCATTGCACGGAGCTGTTTTGCTTTCTCAGACCTCTCCATTGCTTCCTGTTTACTCTTAAGCTTCTGTCGAATCTTATTGGGGGACAGAAAAAATGAAATTTATGAGTAATACAAAAGAAAATAAGAGAATTTTATGACTGCTTAACAGTCCTTAAGTCAGTATTTGGGAAATATATATGGGTGTAAAAAGTCATCTCTCAAACAGATCATGCTTACAAGGCACAATATCCTTTCAGATCAAGGCTAAACCAGTTATTACAGAAACTCCTGAACTGATCTGTAGCCAAAACCTGGTTGAAAAGACAATACTCAAACAGAGACAAGACAAAGCCTTATAATGGGCTCTAATGGAATCGAGATTATCTTGTCAGTCTACTCGGGTGCATGAAGAAAATTTGATAGTTTCTGTCTTGTCATTACTAAAAGTAAAGCACTGAAGAAGAGTCAATAATCCTGTGCCACAGAAAACATCTTTTCCATTCCCTCCTTGATCACATTTTTATAAGGATGCCACATTACAAAGGATTACAAGGATTTCAACACAGATCTTCTGGATTCAGTCTGTGACCCCACTGGGAGACAGAAACTGCTGTTCAGACAAAGCCAGGAAAAGAAAAGAACAGTAATGTGCAGAATTGACTTAAGCCTTAGCACAAGCCACTTATTACTCTTCATCTTCTCTAAAAAGGTTCTATCAAACACCAAAACAAGTCATACATGAATCTCCAAATTAGAGTCCAGCTCATGGTTTTTTCACTTATACAACAGTCTTTTTTCCAAATCCAAAACAAAAAATAGAGTTCCCTTTTGAGCAAAGACTACAGTAAAACGCAAGTTCGTGAAAGTCTTACTGCCTACACGAATCTGACTTCCTATTCAAGACAGATTCAATCAATAACAGACAGTCTAAAATCACCAAGAACCAGAACACGCTGACTATAAACAAAGGGTGATAAATAGGAAAAAAAGGATCGTGTAAAAGACACAGTCAACTGCAAGTCTTATGACAAAGAGCAAAAACACAGCCAACTTTACAACCCCTCACACTGAGAAAAATTCTCCATTTTTAATATTAAACACATCCAGGACAAAGTATAAATAGGGTTTTCTACTTTATGTTCCAACCTCTTACAGGATAAAACCAACACGTTACACAAGAAAGGAAGACATTGCACATACCTTCTGCATCTGTTGGTCTGATTTGGCCATCTCTGCAAAGTAATCATCCGGCCTCCTGGTCGGAACCTGGAGCTTCTGCAGCCTAGGAAGGGCTTCCAGGACGGCTGCCTGAGCCTGCCGGTAGCTGGGAGAGAGCACAGCACCAGCTCTGTCACTGCACCAGCTCTGTCACTGCACCAGCTCTGTCACTGCATGTCAGGCATCCCACAGCACTGACAGAAACTCTGAGCACACCAGCTGGGTGATACTGGGATCTAACAAGCATTGCTCTAGAACGACATCAACATTCTGTGCACATACAATGCTAGTGAAAGTATCTTGCATATATGCACTTATTGCCAGTTACAGTTTAATATGTTGGAATATAAAAGGCATAGCAAAGCAAAAGAACTGTAAGAACACCAAACCAAACCCACAAAGAAAAATCAATATCTTGTATTACAGCCTTAGTGCTGCTACCAAGGCACTTTTAAAATATACTTTTCAGCAAAGGATGGAAGCCTGCTGGGAAAAGGGAAAATATTTATTTTCAGTCACAAGGCAAGTTAAATATACTAGCATTAATTTGTAGTTATTTTGGAAAACATTCAGAGCCATCAAATCTTAAATAAGACGGCCCAAGAGTGACAGTGCCAGTGACAGGCACCCTGCAGTACACTGGTGAAACGCAACTACAAGCACGCAGCACCACGCTGAGACCCCACATGAAACCTCTTTTTTGACACTTACAAGCTCATCTCTCTCTGGAAATCATTCTCAGGGTCAACGGCATCTGTGCTGGAAGCGCTCTGGGCGACGGGGTCCACGACGGGGCCCAGAGTCACGTCCAGCCTTTCCACCCACGCGAGCTGCTTCCCGAATTCGGCCAGGCACTGCTTCAGGCCGTCCTGCGAGAGAAGCACAGCTCTGCACGGCCCCGCACGGCTGGCCGTGCTCAGGCTCGGCTCACACCGCAAACCCCCGCCGCCGTGCAGAGCCCCGCAGCCCTCCCTGCCCCGCAGCCCCGCTCACCGCGTCGTTGCGCCGCTTCGGCCGCTCCTCCAGCACCACGTTGAGCCCCGGCTTCAGCTCCCCCCTCGCGAAGGCCTCCTGGAGCTGTGAGACGGGCACGGTCAGGCCGCGGCTGCCGGGGGAGGCCCCGCCGCCCACCGCGGCCCCGGTCTCACCTCCGAGTCCGAGAGCGAGGAGTCCTCGGAGTCCGACCCGAGGTCCGAGAGGGACCCGCGCCGCGACATGGCCGCCATCGCCGCCGCCGCCGCCCCCACCGCCCCTTCCGCCCGCGTGCGCCGCCGCTTCCGGGCGCGGCGGGGCCCGGTCACCAGGGCGACGGGGCAGCGGGGCCATGGCGGCGGCCGTGCTGCCCGTGGCCGTGTTCGGCTGCCGGCCGCGGGTGGCCGGCGGCGTTTGCTTCCTGGAGGAGCAGGTGGTGCTGCACGCGGCCGGGGCGGGCTGCCTGCGGCTGCACCTCGAGCACAAGTGGCACAACTTCATCCCAGGTGGCACCGACCCCCGGCCCCCCCCGGCCCCGGCCCCCCCCGGCCCCGCAGCCCGCCCTGACCGCTCTCCTCCCCGCAGGCACCGAGAAGAGCCGGGGCGTGCAGGCGCTGGCCGTCAGCCCCAACCGGCGGTTCCTGGCGGTGTCGGAGGCGGCGGGGGAGCAGCCGGTGCTGGCGGTGTACGAGCTGTCTGCGGAGCGGGCGCGGCGCCGGAGGGCGCTGGCTACCGCTGAGCTGCCGGCGCGGCAGGCCGTGTCCCTCGCCTTCTCCCCCGACGGCCGGTACCTGGCGGCCGCCACGGCCATGCCCGAGGGGGTCCTCACCTGCTGGCTCTGGGAGAAGCATCAGCTGGAGGCGGCCGTCCGCCTGCTGGCCCCGGGCAGCGGCCCCTGCCAGGTAACGGCGCCACCTCCGCCCGCTGCCGAAACCCAGCTGTGACAGCCCCTCTGCGGCTCGTTTTTAACACTTCGGTTCGCAGCTGACCGGTTCTTTGGGAGCGCATTGCACTTTTCGGAAAGGTGGATAAAAGGATCAAACTTGAGTTCAACAAGTACCGGGGTGCCAGGTAGCACGTATGTTCATCCTTCAGGATATGTGCACAGCACATTTTCCTGTGGCCACATGGCTTCTGTCCTGGGCAAGAGGAGGAGAGGACTCCACATTGTCCACATGGTAGATTTCATACAGTTTCTGTGACCTTTCTTGACATCTGCTGTTGGCCTCCCTCAGCAGTAGGACACTGGGCTAAATAAAGTCTTGCTTTGACCTATAATGGGCATTCTCATGTCTGTATGTGTTGTATCACATGAGATTCTCTTACATCACATCAGGTCTGTGTCATGGGGCCAGCACAGCTGGCCAGTGTGTGTGCAATGTGTCCCTTTCGTCCCTGCAGAAACTCTTACTAAATATATTGGCTGTGCTCAGTAACTGTAACACACTTCTTGAAAGCTCTGGGCATGCTCCTGCACCTTTTCCTTCCTGCAGTCTTCTATGTGCAGATCAGAGGAGAAGAGTGGCTAGGAGCAGGCTGATGGCACTCAAATGAACCCTGCAACCTGCTTTGGGTGCCCTTTTTTTAGAATCTTTCTTGTAGGGAGGTAAGATGCTTCCAGTACATGGGGTTCAGCTACAAGCAGAGGTTGGAGGAACTGCTGATTTCATGAGCTCAACTTCTAAAGAGGGGAAAGGGCTGTAAAGACTCCCACTGTCTAAAGTCCTATTAAGTTCCATTCAGCTACATCCTGCTCCTTTGTACCATTCATAAAAAATGAGTTCTAACCACCCCTGCTATCCTTCATGTTGGGTACTGAGATGGCTATTCCATCATTTTCACAAATAAACACCTAATTATGTGGATTCATATGCATAATGTTTGCTTGAAGTACAGAAGTTATTCCTGGCCTTTAAGAACAAATGGTCACACTTTTCAGGAAGCTTGCTACTGGAAAAACTTGCTAATCAGCGATAAAGAGGTATTTTGGCCTTACTTTTGTAATTTAATTTTGAAGGGCAGAGACAACTTGCTTGATACACAGTTTTGAAAGGGGGAAAACTGCAATATGTAGTTATGATAGTTAGTTGTTAGTCTCTTCTGTATTCATGTATGTTTCTATGAACTGTCTTCCCTTCTTTGTTTTCCTTTATCTGGTATTGGAAGTCTTCAGAACAGGTATAATATTTGCTTGTTTGTGAACATAGTTGTAAAAAATCCTTTCTCTCTGTTGTTCCATAGGTTAGCTTTAGTCCTCAAGACAGCACCCAGCTTTGTATCACTGGAAATGGCTTTTTTAAACTTTTTAAGTACAGTGAAGGAAATTTGAAGCAGATGAATTTACAAAAGGGAGAGCCAGAAAACTACTTGTGCCATGCCTGGCTGTCTGAGGAGAAAGTTGTATGTGGCACTGACACAGGCAAACTTAGCGTGTTTGAAACTGGAGAGCTTCACTGGGAAACAAATTTAGAGTACAGAAAACCACCCAGGGAACTAGAAGAAGATATAACAACAAAAGAATATGAGAGGTAAATCCGTTAAATATTATTACTGATAGTTTCATGCTTGTGCATGCAGATTAGTTGCAGGCCACTGACTGATTTCCTTCTTGTCCAGCTTATGATTTTGATTGCTGCCAATTAAAATTTTTTTTATTTGTCTTTATTCTTAAGTCTTTATGCATTTCCTGCTTGCAGCTCTCTTGATGTTTCTTGTGGACTGGCCTCTGAAGATATTGGTAGACAACATAATTCTTTGCCTCAAATATCTGCAGTTGCAGCATATTCCAAAGGCTTTGCATGTTCACCTAGCCCAGGAGTTGTTCTTCTGTTTGAGAAGACCAAGGGAAAGGAAGCCTACGAGGAGAGTCAAGAAATCTGGGTAAGGAGAAAAAAAGCTTTTCTAAGCAATTATGCAGGAGAGGCCTGTTTAGATGACTGTGGGTGCTTCTGATTCAGCTATTAATAATAATTTTTAGCACATTCTGAATTGCATTGTAAGCATTAGCTAACTGTGCTGGTGATGTTGAAAGGAAGAGAGTTGCCAAAGGTCACACTGCAAGTCAGTGGCTGATGTCCAGGTAATTCTGCATGTTCCCTTCCCATGTGTAAAATGCACTTTGAGGCTGCTAAATTTCAGGGAACCTTTAAGAAACTTTTATTTGCAGAGACTTTTGGAGCTAAGAAGTAGTTTACATCAGTTTTGAAGAACTTGGCTGCTTGGTGTTTTCCCAAGGAGAAGCTTTTCTCCACTCAGATATTTATTAGAACTGTCATGAGACTTGTGCACTCTTAAATAATCCAGTAAGGTTTCTGTTCTAACTGTTTTATGGTGTATGCCTTGACTTTCTGCAGTCTCTGCCTGAGAACACTTAGCTCTAATGACCTGGTCAAGATTTCATACTCTGGTCCTAAAAGGTCAGATCTTTCCTATGCTTGAGGCCCTGTAATAAGTGTTATCAACCTGAATGATACACTACGAAGAACTGTTATTCTGAGATCACAATTTTTAGGCAATTTTCATTCTGGCACTTGCTAGGTTTTTTCTTGATGTTTTTCTGCCATCATTTTCAGTCTCGTTTAATGCAGTACTTTACTGCTGAAATGTCTTCTAATACTTTGTTTCAGCTGTAATGCTAGAGATACAGTTGTCCTCTTGTCCTCTATTCCCTGCCTTACAGTAGTTACATGCTATTAAATATCCAAGTTGTCTTGCTGCTATTGTGTATATCCTTATTAAAGTAGCATTTCAGAAATGTGTGTGTGTGTGTGCATGCCTACTGCCAAAACATGGAAACCTGGCATATCCCATTGGATGCATTTTTTGTGCAGCTTCCTCAGGACCAGTTCAGAACTGAGCCAAAAAAGTCAGACAGACAGGACATTACATGTATATGCTTCAGCCCCTCTGAGGAAACAATGGTCATTAGCACAAATAAAAATCAGCTATACATGTTTCCTATGGTCTCCACCAAACTTATAAGGGTAAGTGCAATCCTATCACATTCCACAGCCATCAGGTCCAGTAAGGGGTGTTTGTAATGTCACAGGCTATGCAGTGTTGTTTTCTGTGATGCATTCTCATAAAATCCTTCAAATAGCATCTGAACCCTTGATTTTTTTTTTTAAAGTATCTACAGGGCCAGGAGGTATTGACTGAATTCTTGCAGTGTTATAACCCACCCCAGAAGGGGAGGGTAACACAGGTTCTTGTTAATAGACCCCTTGGGGCAGATTAGAGTGAAATAACACTGATGATTGGTGTTTGTAAATATATATATGTAGGGTTTATTTTAAAACAATTTGATTTCAAAGGAATCCAGCTATGTAGCCGTTTTGGTTGTTATCATCTATAGCAATATAGCAATATAAAAGCATAAAAATAACACTTCGGAAAACGTATAAGGAAAAGAAAGAGAAAGAAAGGATAAAAGTTGAAAGATATATGATCACCACACATTGGATCCAGGAATGAAACTGTTATGTTCAGAGCAGTGCAGTTAAAGCATTAAGTGGTTTGCTCATTCTGCTACTGTATGCAAAGACCCATGAGAGATTTCTTGTCTGAGTTACTGCCTGCAATTAAATATTTGTGATTTTTTTAATGTTCTCATTCCTTCTCAGGAGAAGACATCTTATTTTGCATATCTGAATTTCCCATTGCATTCTGATTCGATCACTGGTCTGGACATGTGTATTTGGAAACCCATTCTTGCTACTTGTTCCCTGGATAGATCTGTCCGCATCTGGAATTACAAGACGAAGTAAAGAGTTATTTATCTTTGTTATTACCTCTTGCTTTTCTGTATATTGTATTTAGCAGGCAATCTCATATGAATGAGAGTGTTGTTCTGGTAGAATTCTTGTGTGGTGTGGGACGTAAATGGTCTTACTGGCATGATTTGTGGAGTATGAATAAGCAGTGCCTTTAAAACCAGTGCCAAAAGAATCCAAAGCCTTTTCTATTAAGCTATTTTTTATGTCAGACTTCTCATGTTTTGGGAAAAAAATATCTTCAGGAAAGTTTCGTTCAGCTTTGTCTTCAGATACTGTTGTCCCATCTCCTGCTTCTTAGCCATACTTCTCAAGCATAATGACTCCAGCTTTTAAGGTTGTGTGGAAGGAGAAGGGGAAGAAACCAAATCTCAAGAGATGTTTGTGTAGCTTTGCAATCAGCAATTCATTTACCTTCTTCACTATATTCCAGTATATAAGGATTTGCTCTTGCACCTTCCACACCTGATCTGTGAACCAGAAAGTCAAATTTGCCTTTGTTTCCTGTAACATCTATGTGACCATTACTTAACTGAATAACAGCACGTTTCCTCAAGGACAAGGCAGAGTTAGATTGTAGCTGCAGGTGTCCTTCCAGGGCCAGATAATGTCCTGTCAACCATGCAGAGGGAGTTTGTAGGATTCCATATTGCACAATGGTTTTCTCTTTCAGCACTTTGGAGCTGTGTAAGGAGTATCAGGAGGAAGCATACACAGTATCACTTCATCCCACTGGCCTTTTCTGTTTGGTTGGGTTTTCTGACAAACTACGATTTATAAGTCTGCTGTACGAGGACATGCATGTTTTCAAGGAGTTTGCTGTGAGGAAGTGTAGAGAGGTAAGGAATGATGCAAAAATGAAATTGGGGAGTTATAGGGAGCAGAGTGGTGAAGAACATGACAGAATATAGAAACTTCTTCAATACATCCTAGTAGGATTTAGGATATCAAAGCATAGAGAAATGGATTCTGACTATTGGAAAACAAGCCCCCAGGCTGATGCATAACTGTTGACCTGGGAAGCAGCAGAAGGGGTAATTTGCTCAGAAATACTCAAGGACAGCATTTTCCAGGGGAAAGCATCAATTAAGAAAGCAGTAAGAGGCTAATTATGAAGTTTTCTTTTTGTGTAACAGTTTGATATTAGATAACATCATTTAAATTCAATGCATTAATGTCTTTATCCACTCCATCTACAGTAATGGGTGGTTGTGTTCTTTTTGTAGTGCTCATTCAGTAATGGAGGCCATCTTTTTGCTGCAGTTAATGGAAATGTGATTCAAATTTATTCCAGCATCACCTTTGACAATGTTAGTAATCTGAAAGGACATAGTGGGAAGGTTAGTAAACAAATCCTATACAGTACAACACATTAACGTATTAACTAATCGATAAGATGTATTTTGAAGGGGTAAAGTACAATTTTGGATCTGAAAGGGCCCCAAAAATTGAATATAGAAATACAAAACTCAGTTTTCTTTGGTCAGTAGGCAAAGTGTGCATGAACTAGATACATCTAAAAAGTCTGTCCTTAAATTGATGGTGAATGACTGGCAGGGAGCAAAACCAGGAAAAAATCCCAGTAATAAATTATAAAAATAAAATGTACTACTCAGTATTGAAATGAACTTCTTCCTGACAGTGTGTTCATAAAGTAGTCTTTACTTATCTTGTGGGGGTTTTTAATGCTAAAATAGAATTGGCTGAGAAACATCTAGGGGTTTTTAAGTAAGACTTCGATGTATGATTCCAAAGTTGTCATGGATTTACCAGTAAAATGACACCATGCTCTATGTCTATAACCTACACATCAGGCTCCTTGGTGTGTTTTGCCTTTGCCAGATACATGCAATTAAATGGAGCACAGATGATGCTAAATTTGTCTCCTGTGACACACATGGTGCTGTGTTTGAGTGGAACTTGATGACAGGTAAAAGGGAGTCAGAGTGTGTGCTCAAGACCTGCATCTACAGCAGCATTTCCCTGTCTTCTGATGCCAAAATTATCTTTGCTGTTGGATCTGACCAAACTCTCAAAGAAATTTCAGAGTCTTCGGTGAGCAACAAGCACTCTGGGATTTTGCTAAATTCTCTGGGGAGGGTGCTAGTACTTTGGTTTCCTTATCATCCCTTTGGTAAGTAGGAATTGGTCTGGTTTTGAGAGCTGTGATATTTACTGACACTTTTGTATTCTTATGTCCTTTGCCATGAAACCTGAGATTTTTCTGTAGTTTTGTGGGGTTTTTTAATTTTACTTGGATTTACCTAGAAGTCTTCTAATCCAGCTAACAAACTTAACTAGGCAATATTGCATCAGCTGTTTTGCTGAAATACAAGTGTATCACATCTACTCCTGTAGGGTACATGCATTTTTTTCCCAGAAAAGTGGTAACTTTTGTGTGATCTTTCAGATCATACATTCACATGAAACTTGGATTGAAATTTTAATACTGCATATCTATAATAAATATAGCAATTTTATATCTAAATATTCTCTTATATCTAAAACACGTTTTAAAAATCTGTAGAGCTTAATACTAATTACTGTTCATGGCTTTACTCCCATAGGCGTGTAAATTCTTTTAACTGCATTATTTGCTGCAGGCAGAGGTGTGACAATTGGTCATGCAATAGGTAATCAAACACTTAATGTATTCTGAGGGGTTTGTGTGGTGGTTTGTGTTGTTGGGGTTTTTTTTAGATCCAGCATGAAGTGCCTGCCTATGGCGTTGTTTATACTGCTGTAGCTGTTTCCCATTCCGGGCACGTGATATATGTTGGTACCTCCCTGGGGACAATCCGAGCTATGAAGTACCCACTCACCCTGAAGAGGGATTTCCACGAGTATCAGGCCCATGCAGGTGCTGTTACAAAGGTAACATAAAGTACTTTCTTTTCCCTGTGATATCAGGAAGATAATTTTGTCATAGAATCGTTTAGGTTGGAAAAGATCTGTAAGATCATCGAGTCCAACCATTGCCACAGCACTGCCAAGTCCACTCTAAACCGTGTCCCTAAATGCCACATCTGCATGCCTCTTAAATACCTCCAGAGATGGTGACTCCATCATTCCCCTGGCCATCCTGCTTCAATGCTTGACAACCATTTTGGTGAAGATTTATTCCCTAATATCCAGTCTGAACCTCCCCTGGTGCAACTTGAGGCCATTTCCTCATGTCCTGTCACTTGTTACTTGGGAGAAGAGGCCAATCCCCACCAGCTCCCTCAGTATGCTTTGATAGATCCCCATCCTCCAGGAGGCCACACGTTCTGTCTTGTTAAAACTGGTCACAATTTTGGCATTTTAAGTATCACTGTCAACTACAGCACCTTGAGTTATAGTTGCACAGTCCAACACTGGAATATGAACTTCAGTTATTGGAACTCTACTTTCACCTCACTGATGAGCTATATCAGCTCCCAGGTACTTTATCCCAGGCCGTGCAGCCACGGGAGGTCTGAAGGAGGTGACAGCAGTTATTACCAGATAGTTCTAGAGCTTAGTTACAGTTTCAAAAGGAAATATTTAGCCATCTGTTGCTCAAGCAACTTCTCAAAGAAAAACACTAGAGACCTTTGGAATTGTCATATAAATTGCTTGTCTGTTCTATAATTGTCTAGAAGGCCTTTCCTGTTCCAGTTTTTTTTAAATCTTCCTGCAGCTTTGAGAGCAGAAGCAGACTCAGTGTCTACACATGTTCTTCTTTTCTTTCCCTTCCCCTGTTGTTTCAACCAGGGTGGAACAGGAGTAAAGGACATAATCAAAATGTTGGTAGTGGGGCTATGTTATTATTTCCACCATTGACTTTCTACCGTAGAAATTAAGGGAGTACGTGGGTTGGGAGAAAAATCTGGTTTAAAATAATACTGTGTCTCCATTCTTCCTTGTCTCTTCTATATATTTTGTTGTCTCTTCCTTCTAAGATGTCCGTAACAAGTGATGACCAGTTTCTACTGACTGCTTCAGAGGATGGCTGTATATTTATCTGGAAAGTGCATGATAAAGAAGGTGGGGCACTGAAAGGGGAAGCAGAAGCTGGGTATGCTGAGGAAGTGCTGATCATGAAATCAGATATAGATGAGAAGGTAGGAGGAGCAACTTGTGAACTTAAACCACAGGATTCACAGTGTACAGCTTATGAATCACATTTGCATGATGTTTTTGACTAGCTGTTCCTATATGGCTTGTATGGCTTTCATCCTAAAAAGAGGTTACAGCAAGTAGTTGCAGCTGCTTGTCAATCTGCAAACAGCACTGTACAAACAGGGAGTGTGGAGAAAGGCTTAGACTTTTCTCTAACGCTTTCACCAATCTCTTGAAAACACTTTTAATGGAGTAGAGAAGTCATAAGATGGGTTTCTATAAACCATCTTGTAAGATAACAAAAGAGTCTTACTTCTAGAACTTCTGAAGATTCTCTGTAAAGGCTGTCATTCATAAATATGTGCATGTAAATAAAACATCCTTAATAAGCTGTTGCTAATGGCAAATATTCTCTCTGTTAAAATTGTCTTCTCATCCATGTCCTGACAGAGTCAGGCAATACTAGACCTGCAGATTTGTGTGAAAGATCTACAGACAGAAAGTGATTATGAGCTACGTCTCAAGGACCTGTACTGTACTGGAAAAATAAAGGCATTGGAAGAGAACTTCACTCAGGAAATAGACTCCCTTAAAGCCCAACACCAGGTATGATTCATATTGCAGAACCAAATACAAAGAAATCTTTCACTGAAGAGTTGAATTCAAGCTTGTATGAAATATATATGAATGCCATAAAGCATCTGAAAAATGAATCATTCCTTTCCAATGAAGATGTTCTTGATATTTGTAACACATGAAGCTACCTTTGAATCAAATATATTATAGGAACAAGGGGATGCAAGAGTTCTCCTAGGTAACCTGTAATATCTTCACATAAAAACAGCACATAAAATGCTGCCTGAGACCAAGGATCAATAGTAGAAATGGTATCATGCCCTAAAAGCTCCTTCACATACAAGGTTGCAGCTGCTGCAGGATCTAACAGTTATTCTTCTCAGTGATGCCTTCTTTGTTCTGTCTGCTTAGATTTTTAAGAACATCTGCTGAGGTGTCTTTTATGTTTGTTGAAAATGAAAGTAAAAATATATTCCCTGGATTTCTTCTGTTCATGTGCTTATTGATTTCTCTTGTGGTGAAGCAGGACATCCCTGCAAAGTCAAAGGCTATTATAATTCCTCACAGTGTCTTATTTATCTGTGTCTGGTAATTCTATTCTGTCCATCTGGATTTCTGACCTGTAATTTGCTATACTTCTGGACTTTTTTTTAGACTTAGAAGGCAAGTGACCCAGTAGCAATTTCTCTGACAGTAAGAGAGCTTGAAGTAAGAGATTACATATCACCTGATTCAATTCTGTCAACCTCATGTTCTTTTTGAGCCTTTGGGTGAATAATGTCCTGTTCTGGTGATTTGTTACTGCGTAATTTGTTGAGTTGTACATAGTCCCTTCAAGCAGTGTTTCCACATAATCCACATAAAGGATTCCAGTATGAAAGCCTGCCAAGTTCTTTGCTAGTTTTAGTATTTTACAGGCTTGTAATTTTCAAGCACTCCTTTTATACCTTTCTTGTCTTTTGGCCCTACAAATGTTCTAGGAGGATTTTTATTTTTATTTTTTGAGGAAGTTTAATTATTCATTTTAACGTTTTCTTCAAGTAGTTCTTCAGACTCTTTGGCTTGTCTCATTGTGGTTTTTTTTTCATTCAAATAACCTGAGTTCTAACCTTTCTATTTTTCCTCTTTTTGTACAACTTGACCTTGTTCAAGAAGCCATTTCAATTCTGCTGGTTTTTTTCTGCAGTTCTTCAGGTCTTTTGATAAGTAGTGCTTGGCTATAGAGTTATAATAATCTCAGCTACACTAAAAATTCTTTAGACTTGCTGATTATAGGCTTGCAAAAACCTCTGAAGGTGAATAGAAGGCAGGCAAGTTGTACTTGTCCAAGCATCAGTATGTGTTAAGATTGAAGTCAATGACGTCTTTGGACAGGCTTGGGACTAACCTTTCTAGCTGTTGTATCCATCAGACAAATAGAATATTTCTGCTTATGCAAGACCCATGCAGTTATTATGAGAAGAAAGTGAAAAAATTGTTCCTATAGTACAGTTCTGAGGTTTTCTGGGAAATTTCTCACCTATTTTCTCGCTCCAGTTCTTTGTGCTTTTTTAGAAGATTAAGTCATTTGTAGTGGTAGTCAGACATTCCAAGCAAATGGCAATCAGAATAGGCTCTTGCTTAGGTTTATGTCAGACTGTGCAAATGTCAGTGTTTTAGGACCTCAGGGTTGCTTCAAGTGAGACAGGAAGCAGCTTGAACTTTAGTATCTGGACAACAATTTATGGAACTGCAAATTCTCCTCAAGCAGGAACACATAAATGAGTAGAGGCTTTTGTAACTCACAAACTTCTCTTTTTAGATTAGGATTTTGCAGTATATATATTGTATTATATTATACCCATTTGCTACATCCCCTTAGTTTTCCATAATTTTGTAATTTGTCATAACAAACTGATCTCTGCTAAAACTTGCATTAGTGACACATGGCATCTGAATTTTGGTGAGAGACTTCAAAACACAGTTCTGTTGTTATGTATGTATTCCCCACCATGGGGCAAGAGCACAAACAATTTGGACGTTGCTTCGCCTAGCTTCAAATTAAAATGTATTTTTCTTATTTTTTCCCCCCAGATTTTACAGGCAGAGAAGGAAAAACAGGAGCTACAATACGAGTGTCAACTGTCTGAGCTGGTGAAAAAACAGGCCAGGGAGGTGCAACAGCTAGGTTAGACTATAACAAGTGTTTGCAATTAGAAACTGGAGGAAATGCTTTGGATTGATAGCAAGTTCTGCAAGGATTGATTACTAGAGTAGAAGTACAAGGAAAAATGCACATATGTCATATAGCTATTGCACACCAAATGTTTGCCTAAACTGCACCACACACATGCCCATGATGAGAACATGCTCATGGGCCCTGTATCTTAGAGGTTTGCTAATTTCTTCATTTATTTTATAGCTCACTGTGCAAAACCAGTGAAGTTATACAGTTCAGCAAGGGGACTAATGTACAGTGTACACAAGATGGAAATACCTGGACTCCAGATTCGTAATTGAGATGAAAATACTGCAAATTAGTCCCAAAGAGCAAGTCCATCCATAAATGAGTCCATTGCCCACTCATACTTGGTGACAGTTAAGCTTATACAGCTCTGCCATGGTCATCATCTCAAGGGAATGCCTGAATTAGTTGTCAGTTTTGTATGGCCACAGAATCTAAAGCCCCTGTATATCTGATGAAGAAAGTGATGAACTGCTTCTACTGTAATTTATTGCAACCAGCTGCCAAAAAGCCAGTAGAGAATAAGACAGTGCTGCCTGCAGAAGGATAGGACTCACCTCTCGTTTCTGTTAGTTTTATCCATTCCACATGTTTCCTGTTAACAGAATCTGCAAGTAATAAGAAACTCTTAATGGAAAATGAGAGATATGAGGAGCTGCAAGTGAAATCCCAGAGGATGCAGGAGGCATATGAGAGACAATTGCACAGTTTGGAGGAGAGCAAAAGCACGGCTTTGAAGGAGCTGACAGAGCGTTACGAGGAAAAGCTTAAGCAGAAATCTGCTCTGCTGGAACAGGTAGGGAACTTGATTTGCAGTTTGATTTGTTGACCCAGTTTATCTTCAACTGTGATAAGATGTTCCCTAGGGCAGGAGAGGTTGGCATCCTCCCTGCAAATCCTAATCTGCCTGTAACCTTGGGAAAATATGTTGACAGGTAGAATAGTAATGAGGAAAACCCAGCTGAGTTACCAACTTTTCTGGGCTCCATACCTTGAGTAACCTGCTAAGATTAATAACTTTGGGCATTCTTAGCTAAATCCAAGAATTCCTGTTTATTAATGTGGTTTAGTTGGTACATTTAATGTAATTGAAGAAAGAAAGGTTCAATCATGTTGTTCTAGTGAAGAGATAACATTTTGAAAATGGTGAATTACATTCCTGAGTCCTTGAGGTTCCTACCTGCATAATTTAGGCAACAGAGATAAATACCCTGAGTACTTCAAAAACTCTTGCACACTGAGGTCAAACACTTGGCTTGAAAAAAAGGCAGCCAGATAACTGATACTTACATATCTAGAGTCAGTAAATCCTATCAACATTACTGTTTGCAGCCCTGTGTTGCAATACCTGTTTGAAAAGAATGTGGGAAGAGAAGCATACAGAGACTGAGGCCAACCTGAGTGGTTATTGATTGTAATGCATCAGAAACAGCAATTTTAAAAGATCTTCTCAAGTGTCACTTTTTTGTGATTTCTGCAGCCAGAACAAGTTTGCTGATTAGTATTTGGGCCAGGTTCCTACCCTGAAGCATTCAAGTCTTAGGAATAATTAAAAAGAAAAAAAAAAAAAAAAAGAAGAATTTTTAATGTGTATGTTATCAGTTTTTAAAGTTACTTTAATCTCCTAAGAAGTAACCTTAAATGATATTGCTGCCATTGAAGAGGCCACTAAATATAGATCCTCCCAGGAGAAACAGTTACAAACAACCTTTTTTTCGTCTCTTACTGTTGTCTTCTCTAATGCTTGCTTTCCTTAACTGCAGACAAAGGAGAATATGAGGAGGCAGATTCAAGCACATGAAGAAATGGAGAAACAAATTTATGAAGATGGAGACAAAGAAATCTCAGAGATCAAAAACAAGTATGAGAAACAGCTCAGCGAAGAGAAGGAGTCCAACACGCAACTGAAAGGAGAAATAGGAGTCATGAATAAAAGGGTATCTTTTATTCTGTGGTAGGATCAGACCTGCACATGGAGACCTGTAACTGAGGATTGAATGTGATTAATGGCATGTCAATTTAGTCCATTAATTTGATCTGTAAATATGTGACATTTCATATGAGAACAGTAACCCCTTCTTAGGTCAGTTTGAATGTTTTAGAATATTTGGGCAGAGGAAGAAGCTGTGTGCTGATTATATTGCTGATATGATTAGAGATAGATGATAGAGGAGGTGTGTTTTTATTAGTACGCTTTTTCTTATCTACATGGTTTTAAATTATAAATAATATTGTTCATCCTATGATGGGAAAGAAATGAACCTTTTAATTTTTCTAAGATCTGATACATTGCTTTGTTAGTAAAATACTTTTACTGCTTCATTTGATGCAATAAACACCATGTTTTGTATGCATCATCATTTTTTATTGGTTTTACCAGGATTTTTAGGGAGGCATAAAATCTTTTAGCTCTTTTATTGTCTGGGTATTGCATTTGCCTAAGGAAGTTAGAGGGACAATTTTTCTTTTTCATTTTCTTCAGTATCTATCTGGAGACAGAGAGGTTCTTTTCATACCCTCTAGTATCATGGTACTGTCTTTAGTTTCATTATCTTTGAGACACCAGGAATTTCTCCATGGTTTGTCCAGCAACACTTGCTGGTTCTGACTTTCTTGACTTTGCAGATCTTAGTACTGAGGCAGAGAATTTGAGGGTACCCAAGAGCTATGAACTAGGCACCCTTCCAGTCTACTTTTGACATCTTCAGATATATGACAAATGTTCACCTTGAAAGAATTTTCCATGGATTGTGTGTTATTTGCAGCTGATGCTTGCCCTTCTTGCTTCTGGATGCAATTCCTTGCTTCCTTGTAGTGCAGTGGGTGTTCCATCAGAATATACATGTAACTCATGTGATGCTCCTTCATCATATCTTAGTTTGATATCCTTTATCCCACACTGTGTATAAGGTATCTTACAGAATAGGATGGTTAAGTAGTGCATAGCTTTTGGAGACTGCTGAGTTCTTACTTGTTTGCCTCTCTAGTTGAACAACCTACAGAAAGAGCTCAAGGATCGAATTAGGGATATTGAGGAAATGAGACTGGAACAGCAGAAGCTGGAAAACGTCATTAGAGCACTGGAGAAGGACATCTTGGCACTGAAGACAGAGATTAAAGAGAGAAGTGACACTATCCTAGACAAGGTGAGAAACTGGACAACTGGCTGAGATCAAAATCACCTCCCTTAATTTAATACAGATATTTATTTTAATAGTATTTGCTGTGATAATATCCTGTGACTGGAAACTCAGTTTTAACTTAAATAATTTGTGATCTCCAGTTTGAGATTTTAGTTTTTAGTTGACATTCTAAACTCTCCTTGAGGGGCTCAAGTTCAGGATGTTGGCTTTCTCATCCCCTGTCCTGGGATCTGTAGATGGCTCTGCATTATTTGCCCCCTGCCCTCCCACCCAATCTGTAGATTTGCAACTGAAGTTCAGTCTTCCACAAGATCTGTGACTGCTGGGTTTGCCTCTTCTGTATTTATGCCTTGTCCTAGGGATCATTTTGAGAGTGCTGGGTCTAATTCAGATCTCTGCACCAATTTCTTCCAGGAGAAGCATATATATGACCTAAAAATGAAAAATCAGGAACTGCAAAATTTCAAGTTCGTACTGAGTTTCAAAATAGAGGAGTTTAAGAAGCAAATAGAGTCACGTGAAAATGATATTAAAACAATGAAGGAACAGATCCAGGAGGTGAGTAACACTCTCATTTGGCCCCTGCTTCTAAGCCCTTTGTCTGAATACAAAGGTGACCCAAAAAGTCTCATGACAGATTCCACCCAGTTTGCTCCTTGGCTTCGTTCAAGGATACACAGCACTGATTCAATATCTTTGCTGCTGATAAAAATATTTGCACAAAACAGCTGCTATTTAGTTTTCTATCACGTGCTACCAGTGATCAACATGGTTATTTCCTGTTACACTATTTAATTCTAGATTTTGCTTAAAAATAGATCTTATCCATATGTGGTTGCCCTCCATGTGCCCTATAGGGTTTGCAAGACAATGCTTTTACTGATCTGGGGAAGAGAGAGTGAACTTCTTCTCTCAGAGAAGTTGCAGATTTGTGGAAACATAACTCTGCTTAGGGCTTAGGTACATGGACAAATTATATTCATCATACATGAGAAATTTGCATGTATTCATACTTAGCTTGCAGTAAATTCACTGAGGCAACTTATTTGTGATAAAAACTTACTATGATCTCTCCATAACTCATAGCCAAACTAGGACTATGGTGACATAGCTAATCAATGACATATAAGTTTTCATAAGTCTGTTTATTCAGAACAGCCTTTAAAATAAACTGAAAACTAGTGAACAGGTTGTATGTACTTCAGACTAGCATGATTAAATCCCTGTTGTCTCTTCTGGTCACCATGTTATGCCAGTTAAATGCTGTAGTACCCTTATTACTTTCTTCTTGCGTGTTCTATGTATGTACCCACAGCTTTTCAATTCATTTGCTTCTTTTCAGTATCAGGTTCTACTTATTGTTGCCCTTAATCTTTCCCGTATTGACTGTTCATTTCTGTCTCATCCATTTTTATTCAGATGGAACAGTAAAGCTCCAGTTCAGCTCCAGGAAATGAAGGGGCATCACATAATTTAAATAAATGTAGCTCAAAAGGGAGCTGCACATTAGTTTTTGTGCTTTCTGTGTATTCTGACAGAGGGCAGTGTTGTTCTAAAATTGACGGGTTTCGTGTTGTAATTCAACCTGAAGGGGGAGCTACTCCCTCAAGTCTGTATTTCCAGTCTGCGGCTTTCCTGTTTTGTGTTGTTTTTTCATGTCCCTCTTAGTCCTGATTTCCTCCTCCTGCTTCCTTTCAGATGGAGGAGGAGCTGGAAGGATTCCACAAGGAGAGCACGCAGTTGAAGCTGAACATCACACAACTGCAACAGAAACTAAAGGCGTCTTATCGCGAGATGGACAAAGAGAGGCAGAAGGTACGGGGTACAACCACTGTGCAGCTCCTACAGAACGACGTCTGTGGGAACAGAACACTGGTGAAGCATTAATTTGAGCAAACAGGTACTTCAGGGATACTGTGTCCAAGGACCAAGGGAGTCTGTGGTCACTGGGGACAAAGAAAACTTCCAAGCCTGCAGCCAGGTTAGAGAGTTGATATTAGAAAAACAATCCAGTTATTTAAGTGTCAAGACATATTCTCCTGGGTTTAACAGAAAAGCGAGGCAAATGCTTAACAAATTACCTGTTCCTGCCCAAGCTTGAAATCTGGGGACCCTTGGCCTAACCAGGAGCAGCATGTAGGATACCACCCAGGCATTTGTAGGATGAAATAAAGGGTCAGGTCTTTAATGGAGAAGTCAAGGACCCCTTGTTTGACAACAAGCACATCAGACATGAGGGAGGAAAAGGGACTGCTGGTGAAGGTGGAGGAGCTTGGCAGGCAGTGCCCGAGTGAGGAAGCAGGTCGAGGGACCAAGAGAGAATGAGAATGCAATCTTGATGTGAAATCAGCAAGCTGTGCAAGTCTCTGATAAGTGTTTTGACCCTAACCTTCTCTTGATAACTGTTGGTGTGTTGTTTCTAAATAAGAATGTAGGGTCCATAATAAACCACTGGTTTTCAGATGACATCTCTAGATGCTGGCACTTAGATTGCCTAATGCAGGTATCTTATTATTGCTGCTAAAATCTACAACTGCTATTCAACACGTAGTGCTCACATCCCCAGTGGGTTTTGTGATTAATTTATTTTTTTAATAAATGAAGTGGAAGTAAAATATATGAGAGTTTTCACCAGTTCCCCTAGACTTTCTAGAAAATTGCATGTGATAGAGTGTTCTGATGAACCAAGTAAAAATGTGACCACCTCATTCTTGCAGAAGCAAGATATGGAAACCGTCATCAAACGATTTAAAGCAGATCTTCACAACTGTGTGGGCTTCATTCAGGATTCCAGAAAAATGAAAGATGGTATCCGTGAACTCTACAGCAAGTATGTGCAGCAATCAGATGTGGTGAGTCAGGACCTTTGCCTTGTCCTTGCAGGTGGTTTTGTCTGGTTGTGTAATTACTGAGGCAAAATGCTGTGCCCTCTCAGGTGGAGGCTGAAGCAGTGGACACAGATTTGCAAAAGCAGTACATGAAACAGCAAGAGTATCATGAGAGGAGTTTGGCAGTTTTAAAAAAGAAGGTGATGAAGGATCAGGAAATGCACCAAGCTGCTTACATGCGCCTCATGCAGGTAATAAGCCTTTTCTTTGTGGCATGGAGGGGTAACAGAGGAAGTGGCTGCACAAAACACACCTTAGTAGCCTTACTGTTATGGTTTCTTAGGACTTTGAAACAGTTCTGGTTGCCTTTCTTGCCAGAAATTCCTAAATTTTTCAAGTGCTTCCATTAAATATTCAGAACAAAAAGAGCATGATCTCTAAAGTCAGAAATTGCTGCTCTTTTGTGGATACTTTTGTTGATCTCCCACTCCCTAATGTAAAAGGAGATAGGGAACCTCCTCTGCCTGGATATTTTTAAAGAAATTAATGTATTTATAATTGCCATCAGTCAATTTGCCCCTATCTGAGTGTCAACCTGTACTTGCTATGTGGTAGTGTTTAGGAACTAATTTTGGAGGAAGAAAAGGAAAAAAACTTACTTTCCTTGGCCACATAGTCCCATGCCTACTGATCTGAATGCAGAAGAACTTTCTGGTTTTCACATCCAGGTTTTTCAAGGAAATTCAGAAATACAAATGCCTATTTGTACTAAGATCTCTTGCTCAGAACCCTTGTTCCTTACAGGGCAAGGTAAACTCGTGACTGCTGAGGTCAAAGATCCAATTTGTTTTCATCTGGAGTGAGAGGATCTAAAGCCCCACACCACACATCCTCGGAGGACAGCTTTTCTAGTTTCTTCTTACCATGATCTCCTTCTGCTCAGTCAGCATTTCCTTTTCCCCTCACTAGCCCTTTCATCATTGTTACTTTATTATGCTTCCTCAGGATCATTAGAACTCAGCCCCCTCCTTAGTCATCTGTTCTTTGCTGTTTATTCATAATTTGCTTCTTCAGGGCTAGACAGCAGTGATCTTCTTCCCTTCCCTATTTTAATTTTTTTACCCCTCTGTGAGTTAGATGTTTCCTTTGGCACAAAAGGAGATGGCTTCAGAAAATAACCTGAAGAATTTCCTTGCTGGAATAGGGTGACAGATGGTGTTCATAATGATAATACTTGATGTCTTGGATCAGTAAGCCTAACATGAAATGATGATTAAAACCAAATTAATAAAACATCTGGAAGATGAAGATATCAAAGATTTTAACCAGCCTGGTTTCTTCAAAGAAAAAGCAATTCTCTGAAGTCCAGTAGATTAATGAAGCTTTACAGCCAGGAGGAATTATCATGGTCTTCCAGTCCTTCACAGGGGGCTTTCAAGACTGGTTTAGACAAACTTCTGTCAGGACTTGCTTTGAAAAAGTAAATGACATCTTGACAATCTTCTAGCTCTGTATTTCTGTTGTTCCTCAGTCGCTCTTACATTTTCAGACTTATGCATTCCTCTTTGAGTGATTATTCATAGGTACATTCCACTAGTGAACTGCTGCAACAGATGATTAGAACTGTCAAGATAATTGTAATTATTCTTACCAATTGACAAGTTGCTTGTTGTACAACTATTAGTTTTCCCTCCAGCCTTCTGTATTTGTCACTTGGATACACAAGAGCAGAGGCACTGAATAATCTTGAAGTCATGCTGCTGGAACCAAAGCCCGTATAGGATGATCTTTTCTCTATGTCCTACCTGTCTCTGACAGTCAGCATGTAGAGACTCCCTAGGCTGCAGATTGCATCCAGACATCCTATGCAGTTGGACCTGATGGCCTCATCCTCCATGCATTTGATCAGTTCCCTTTTCTGAAACAATTGGTTCTTTGCACAGCATCCCATGACAGTGAGTTTTCCCATGAATATTTATTTTAATCCATTCTATGACCACTGCATTGCAGTGCAAGCTTTCTGTCAGAATGCAAAGATTGAACTAAAGGCTAATCTCTCTGCAGAGAAGGCTTCTTCAGTGTCAACCAGCAGCCTTTTAGCACCCAGCAAACCAAAGTTATTGCTGCCAACCTGAACTCGAGTGCATCTATCTACAGATAGTTGCAGTAAGCTTTGTACCTTGTTGCTAACCTCTTTCCACTTGTGTGGTGCCAATAATTTTATAAGTATGCTGTAAGGAACTGAATCATATGCCTTGCATAATCTTTTATGGCAACATAATTATCAACCAAAATCATAATTAAAAAAAAAAAAACAAATCCAAGATTCGAAGACATCTTTTTCATGGGAAAATTTCATTAATCCTTGTTCTTATCTCCTGTGGGTTCCCTACAGCTTGAGACTGGTATTATGTGAGGTACCCAAAGCATGCCTTTTTGCCATTTATCTTTTTTAAATATTGACATTTATGATGAAATTCCAGGGGTTGGAGTGGTGTTGTCTTCCAAACTTCTAAAAAACCAGCACAGGTGGCTGAAATAGTTGATATTCTTGGTTCAAGTATGATGGCAACTGTTTAATATTTGCCTTAGTTGTTAAGGTGATAAGGTATTTTACTGTCTTTGTAAGAGGCAAATATACAATTCTACTTCTGTCTCTTGAATTCAAAAAAGAAATATTTAGTTAATGGTGCTCCCATTTCTGAATCATGAACAAGAGTTTTATCATCCTTCACTAGTATTACTCCATACTGGTTTTGCTGAAGTCTTTGTTGCAACAATAGGTGAAGTACATTTACTGGTACTTTCACAGCTCCTTCAGCAAAATGCTTCATGGTAGGCTACTAGAAAAATTGGAGTATTGAACTTTTATGGGCTGAAAACTGACTTAAAAAAGAACAAAAGACAAATACTTGGCTAACTTCTCCTCATGTTAGCAGTACATATCTCAAGTCTCCATATACTTTATATATTCCTTAATAATTCAGAGGGGGTGTTGAAAAGTGATGTCTGCTCAGAACTGATGAAAAGGGCTTTGAATAACTGCAAGGAGATACAGATAATTTAAGTGAACAAATGCATACTGACAAATGAAAAGCAAAATAATACACACTGGAGGGAGAGATGGGAATTCTTCACATTAATTCTGAATTAATTGGATCAATCTAGGAAGAGCCCTGAGCGTCCCTGTGGAATTGGCAAGGAAGATGATACCTTGGAGTGCAGCTGCAGTCAGAAAAGCAAAGCAAATATTAGTTTATTGAGCTAATGTGCTTTGAATACTGTCATGTTTTGTGTCAAATCTACTGTAGCCTTATCTGAAATGTTGTGTGCTGTACTGATTGCCCTGTATCTTCTGCTGGTGATACTGATTCTGCGCTGTCCACTGCCCCTCCCAATGACATGAAGATACATATTGCTCAGCCAGATGGTACCTATGCTTTTTCTCATACAGCATAATGTCTTTGCAGGAAAATGTGAGTCTGATTAAGGAAATCAATGACTTGAGGCAAGAACTGAAGGTGGCCAACACCCAGGTGCATGACCTCCGGGCAGCACTGAGATTAAACAAGAAAAAGAAAGCAATTCAAGACACAGGTGAATAGTGTTTCTTGTGTTTTCCATATTACAGAAGCCCTTTTTGTCCTTGATGAGCAATTCTATTAGCTTGCCTGCCTGGTGATACCTGTTATATTGTAAATATAATTTGTGTATATATATATATTAAAAATTGTATATTATATTATATATATTATAAATTGTATAAGCTGCTAAATACTGCAGAATCTTACTATTTAGACTGACTGCTTCAGCCCTGAAAGATGCCTTCCCTTATTCATGCCAAAGAACTGTATGAGCAGGACCTTACTGTGCTATGTCCTCTCTGATTTTATCTTCTAGCTCCCTCCAGTGAACTGCTGTCTGGCCCAGCTGTCCTGAGGTTGAATCCAGAGATGGAAAGTGAGAAAATCATAGAAATTCAGCAGCTGGAGATTCAATATCTGCGAGACCAAATCCAGGAGAAGGGGCAAGTCCTGAACTGTCCAAGTTCAGTCTCCTTTAGTCAGAAATCTTCCTGAGCTGAATCTGGAAAGAAGCTGCAAGACACAGCAACACTGACCCAGTTCAAGGATGCCTTACATAATTATATCCTCCTGGCAAGATTAGAAATGCAACAGCATAGATTAGACTTTCATGATCCTATACTCTACCACTAGAAGCATTTGTGCAACGCTCACTGCTCTGAACGCTTCTACTTTCCTGGAATCCACCCTTTCCATGAGACTTAGGAGCCAAGAGAAAAAAATAAATCTATGTTAGTGCAAGACTAATCTTTGTGCCTTCATGCTAGGGCAGGTAGTCACCTTTCTCTTGAAAACTAATGTGTTCTAGTTGAGAAGAACTGGTCAAACTCTGTAAGCCTTTTCTGCTAGAATTCTAATTTGGTGTGGCTGTGCTGCAAAATTCAACATCAGCCTTTTGTTTTCCAGGAATGAATTGCCTGTGCCCATACAAAGGACTGCTGCTATTCCAAGCAGGTATCCAGTCACAGACTAACAATCAGTTACCTTGTGAGGGCAACCTTTGACTCAAGCACACCTGAGCTAGAGCCCTTGCTCAAGCCTCTGCCTCCTGCCTAGAGATTAGTTGCCTCATCTGCAGCAATAATTTCAGCAGGACAAAAAGACAGCCCAGTTTCAGACTGTGAAATCTGGAATAAAGTCCAAACATTATGTCATAACTCTCCTATAACTTTCATAAATTGATTTGTTTCCTTGTCTTTTTTCCAGCATCCACAATCCCTTTAATTCAGTTTTTCAGTGAAATTCTCCTAATAAGTCACTCTGCAAAGTATTCATATACAGAAAAAGGCAGGGAGTCATTTCTTTAATAATGAGGGGTAAAAAACTAAATTTTTCATCTTTGGTTGTTGGTGCATGACACACTGTCTCACTGAGGAGTACTTCACATACCTCAGAAGTTGAAGCTACTGACTGAGCATGGAACTGTATGGTGTTATAACAGCCAGTATGTTACTGTTTCTCTTCCTATCCTGAACTGTAGAAAAGTGACAAATGCTCTCCACATACTCCTAATAATATTACACAGAAGATGGTGGTGCCAAGGCTGGGTAACAGGTAAGCTGCATTACCATTAGGGATACTGGACTCATTTCCAGGGTAACACCATGGCAAAATAGATGGTTCCATGAGCTCCTATGACTTTGGAGACTCCAGCTGAGTGCTTTGTCCATGAACATGGAATTAAGTTTCTTTAGTCTTGGTTTGGTTTTTTTTTTCCATTTTGCATCTTCAACCTGTATGAAGCATAGGTTTCACAGGAGGAAAAGGAAGAAGTTAAGATGGAATTGGTCTGTTAATGGGCTATCTTAACACTCTTTCTTCCTGCTCCCCTCCCCATATAATCATCTTGATGCTTCCTGTACAGAAAGAGGATGTAATTAATGTAATTAGTAAATATTTTAGAAACTAGTTCCCTCTTAAATTTTCAGCACACACCCATTTTAATTTGCTAGGCTCCCATGTGGTGTAATTTTCCCCTCTCTCTGTCAGAATAAATTGAGTGGTAGAATCATAGAACGCACTGCTTTAATAGTAGTGGTTTAGAGAAATGGAATCAATCTTTCTGAAAAAGAAGAACCTTGTCCTAATATACAGGTGAAGAATTATTTCGAAATGGTGACTGATGTGCTTAATAATATGCCCCCGTGTCACCCTCATTAGAGAGATTTTAAAGGCAATACAAGGCCTGTCAGATGAAGCCTTAAGTAAGCACCTGCCAAACTAGGCTGAAAAGGATTTTGAACGTGATCTTAGCAGCTAAGAGGCAGCTAAAACATTGCTTGTATAGGAGAACATTAAAAGTCAAGCACAGCAGAGTGTTACAAGTGAGGTTTATCAAAGATCTGCTGGAAGCAAAGTAGCTGTACAAGCCCCTTCTATACTGGGAAAACCAGACAAAGGTCAAACTGCCACACATATGCTGTAGAAATGTTGTAGAATAAGTTGTAACTGGATTATGGGTTTGTGTGCTAATGGTCTTCTAAATTCTCTCAGGGTGCAAAGACACTTTCTGCTTTCATCCTCCCTTGATCTGCATTGTTCTGTTTCTCCTTTTATCTCTAAACGAGCTGAAAAGCATCTCATGCTCTTATAAAGCTACAGCCCATTCTTTTAAGTGAATGTATTGTTATCTTTAAATGTGAATAAGGTTTCCCCTTGGATGACTTCTTTGTTAACTGGGCCAACTAAAAGACCAGGTTTTTCTGAGTAAGGTCAGTCTCATTGTTCAAGGGTGTTTGTATAACAAAACTCACCACATCTCCTTTGCTGTTTTAGGTTTAGGACAACCTCTGGATTGATGATATTTCACAAATTTCAAAAGATATCTCAGATTTTTCTCAGACAAATTCCTGAAGCTGTCACATTCCTTAGTTTCTATTTGATTAGCATATCCTAAGCTTCCCTGCTCATAGCCTGCTAAAAAAACTAGCATGTGACTTAATGTCTGAGCCTCCCTTTCCATTAACTGGACAAGAGCTGTTGTTCAGTCCCATTTTCTTCTTCCTGCATCTCCCAGGAGATTTTCCAACTGCTCAGACTATCAGTAATGATCCCTTCTGCTATGATGAAGCCCAGCCATGAAGGAAGGGATATTCACTAAGCCTGGGAATCCCATTCCCCTACTGACTTCTGTGTTCGTGCTACTCCCTTTTTTATTCTTCATCTCTTAAATGGATCCTTTTCTGTTTCCCTAATTCCTCTCAAAGTGGTTACCCTTTTCTTTCCCCGGACTTACCAGGAAGTCAGCTCTTCTGCAGCACAGTAGGCTCTGCTGGTGCTGCTGTCTCCCAGCGAGGGGTTCTGCAGCTGCCTTGTCATGGGAAGATGACACCACAGTGACATCTTGCCTGACTTAAGTGCCTGCCTGGACTAATGCCATGGAAAGATCCAGGTCTGATATGACCAGATGGCCCTAGCCTATACAGTACTGCAGGAGCTGCTTTATTTAATGCCACATAATACCAAATATTTGCTGAATGTGTAAAATCTTCCCTAACACTGCCAACCTGGCTGCAGGCTTCCTCTCACCTTGCTGCCTGGGAGCTGCTCCCTGGCTCCGGCACCCTTTCCCCTCCAGCTGGGAGGAAATGAGCCACCTTCCAGGATCGGTGTGTGGCCAGAGGCCAGATCCTGCCCGAGGAAGGAGGGGTAGGACCTGCACACCGGCGCGGCTCTGGAGCCTCTCCAAGAGCAGCAGCAGGTTTGCTGGGACGCCACCCTGCTGGGGAATGCACCTGCCCGGGCGAGAGGTGAGGGCTCGCAGCCCATCCTTGGCGCTGCCGCGTCGCACCGGGACGGGGAGCCGGCAGGGGCACCGCACCTGCTTCTTGGCAGGCAGCTGCAGGAGGAAAGGGAGAGCTTTTCCCCCTGGGCTCCCTCGGTAGCTGGATCCAGTGGAAGGAAAGCCAGGAAAAAGCATTGCTGCCAGCCAGGAGCAGGAAGCTGGGCCGGGTTGTCGCGTGTGGGCAGCAGGTGAGTGATCCCTCCTCCCCGGGAGTTGTGCCGTGCGGGAAGGGACGCGCTTCGCCAGGAGCTGCCGGCAGGTTTGGGGGCTGCCTCAGACCTGCTTCTTAAGAGATCCTGCCTCTTGCCTCCACTGCGTTTCTTCCTTGCACCATTATGTTTCCTCTCAGCAGGTAAGGCTTGGGAGTTTCTTGTTCCTTTGGGACTCCTAGGCCGCCCTCGGCAGAGGTGCATCAGGACAGGCTCTGCGGGGTCGGGATAATGGATGCCTGTTATGCACACAGGGAGGAAGGGGGAACACGAGACTTTGTAATGGAGCATGCCAAAGTTATCTAGATTTGTGTAAAAAGCAGCTGCACACTGACCCTGTTACAACAAACCCTCCACCACCCTTAACCCCTGAGCCTCTAGGCTTGGAGAAAGGAAGGGACAGTCCACCATCATCCAGGGCTTCCCTGGGGATTCCCAAAGGGTGTCTCGTGGCAGGAGCACTGGTGGGATGCTCACTTCTAGGAAAGCATTATCCCTCTGGCAGGGTAGAGAGGGTGGTCTCTCCCCACAGGTACAGATTAAGCTGCATAGCTTTGCATGAATTTTGAGAAGCCCAAGAAAGGACAAATGCTGGGAATTGGTGTTTGGCATAGCAGTGAAAAGAGCTTAGTCTCTTGCTAGGATTTTGGCTGAGACAGGCCCCATTACTCCCATTCTTTGCAGGTTCCTCTGTCCCCAGTCCTGAGTTCTCAGGAGAAGAGAGGAAACCTTCCCACATGCTCCCAGGGGCATGGACAGGCCTTGAGCACTATGACATTCAGAGCTTCTGATTTGTGCATTGTCAGTAATTCAGGCATAAAACAAGATACATGAGCTTCATTCTCTTTTAGCCTACTGGGGAGTTAGAATCGAATTGAATATGCTTAGGAAGCATTTCTTTACTGAGAGGATGGTCAAACAATGGAACAGCCTTCCTAGAGAGGTGGTCAATACTCCAAGCCTGTCAGTATTTAAGAGGCATTTGGGCAATGCTCTTAATAATATGCCTGTACTTGGTCAGCCCTGAATTGGTCAGGCAATTGGATTAGATTATCATTTTAGGTCCTCTTCAATTGAAATAGAATAGAATAGACAGAATAGAATAGACAAACTGGAATACAGCAGACAGAACAGAATATCTTGTTTTGGTTGGAAGGAATCTACAACAATTCAGGGCTGACTCTCTTGGTAAAGAAATGCTTCCTAAAGCATTGGAAGTTGGAAAAATTACATGAAATTATGGGGAAAATGTATACCTGTTCTGGACTAAAGGTTTCTGTGAGGCACAGAGGGGTGGCAAGTCCATCCCAAACAGGCTATGGCCAGACCTGGCCAAGAAGCAAATAAGCTGTGAGGCACTGGGGAAGCAGGGGACTGCGATGGCTTTGGATTTGTTTGAGATTGTGAGGCTCTGTTGGCTCTCATCTAGTTTGCTCATGCAAATCCTTTTATGTATTGTCATTTTACAACAGATCTTGCTGACTCTTCCAGTCTCCATGATGCTCACAAAGTCCACATAAGGCTGCATAAAACCCTTCCAAGGCTGGAAGTAGAAGGAAGCACTGCAGGAGCCTGTCTCAACCCCAGACTTCCCCTCCTGAATCCTGTGGGTAAGGAATGTCTCAAGGGGTACCCTGGGTTCAGGTTCAGCGAGAGGAGGGAAGTGAGGAGTATTTCAACAGCTGAATTGTACGTGGCTCTGAAATTAAAGTGTTAATTAACATTCAGTCCATGGCCTATCTGTCACATATCAGGCAGTCAGAAATAAAAAGTTCATAAGTAAATAAATATATGTATATGTCATTCTGAGGAATTCAGCCAATGTGCATCTTCCACACCTGCAGCCAGGAGCGGCCAGAAAACTGTTGATGATGACCCTCAGTTTCCAGTTAAATGTTGTCAGAGCAGAGGGGAAAAAAAACCATAATGAAAAAGGAAAAACATGAACATTTTTGTTTTCCTACATTCCCAGTGTTTTCCTATTCTTCCTCCTCAGCTGCTAGCCAGCAGTGGGGAAGGACAGAGTGTCAATTTTTTCCTGAAACGTGCCCTTTGGACATAAAGCATAGTGTGGCTGGGCTGGTCCTCTCCTTTTTCTTGCACACAGAGACGGAAGCACTGAAGGTTCTAGGTTCAGTAGTGAGTTAGAGATTAACGACCTGTGATACCTGCTGTCAAAAGGCTAATCTGGTGGCTTAAGCTCCCAAGGGGTCTGTG